CTACTAGTTTTAACGCGAATAAACATGACTGAACATCTCATGCCTCATGTAATTGCTCAATCAGTGTTTCAACCGCGGAAAGACATCAACAATACAGCGTGGAAATAAAATGTCACGTAGCATTTAATTTACCTCAGCAAGTCATCAGTGTCCACAGCTCGTTAGTTCACTAGAGAAATTAAGTCTAGAGAGGAGCATTTTGCAAAATATTACACCATATACTCATTATATTTTACTAAACCTGTTAGTCTTAATTATTTAATGTACAGTGTTTAAATTAATCTGTTATGAAACATGCTATGACAGCCATTGTGTAATTGAATATATTTTAACAAATAGCTTAGAAATTTTATTATTTATAAATTAATTTAAAAACTGCATTATGTGCAGTTTACATGTTGATATTACTTAAAGTTGAGTGTTGATCATCTAATTTAAGTTTGGGTTAAGTTGTTAGGCCTAATTGTAACCTTATAATGTAAAAGGGCTCCCTATAGTTTTAAGCATAAGCTCAGTGTTTTTTTAAAAAAAAAAAAGTTTTCCCCCCTGCTGTACCGAAATCATACCGAACCGTGACATTAAAACCGAGGTGCGTACCGAACCGTCATATTTGTGTACCGTTACACCCCTAATATATATACATACAGTATGTATATGTGTGAATGTTTTTTTATATTTACTCAAAGGATGAGATTCATGATAACAAGTAGTATGTTATGATGGCATTTAATATGATTGCATATTTGTTGAAATTAAACATTTTCCTAATTTTCTTATCTTTTTTATTTTTATATTTTTAAAAATGTATTGTACTCAAAATTCACACAAAATATTTGGAAACAGAAAATGTTCAAATCTATTGACAACTGTTTATGGATTCTTGACACAAGGCAGAGCTAACACTTCTGTTGTTAATCAGCTAAGCAGGCACAAGGTTGATATTGTCGGCAGATTTATCATCCTGGTGGATATATATCAGTTTATTGCTAATGCCAGAATGTTTTACTGTGCATGTATGAACATGACACACATATCTCTTTTCTCTTGCCTTGCAGCCACAAATGGTCACTCTGAATGTCTCCGTTTGCTCATCGGAAATGCCGACCTGCAGAGTGCAGTGGACATTCAGGATGGAATTGGCCAGTAAGTATATGAGACTATTTTCCAATTTCTTCTTATAGAAGATAATGGAAATTATAGATTGTGGAGTCTTATTCATATATGTGATTCTCAGGACGCCTCTGATGCTGTCAGTGCTGGGTGGACACACAGACTGTGTTTACTCCCTTATTAATAAAGGAGCCAATGTGGATGCCAAAGACATGTGGGGCCACACTGCTTTGCACAGAGGGGTAAATCATAACTGATTTCCTTTGGCACTAGAAGGATTTCTACTGGCACTGGCTCATGGATGTGTGTGTTGTTCCATCCAGGCGGTGACGGGCCATGAGGAGTGCGTGGAGGCTCTGCTGCAGCACAGTGCCAGTTTCATGGTACGGGACTGTAGGGGGCGCTCTCCAGTGCACCTTGTGGCCGCCTGTGGCCACGTTGGGGTTCTGGGGGGCCTTCTGCATGCTGCGCAGTCAGTAGAGACCATTCCTGTCATCACTGACCACCAGGGCTACACGCCCCTGCACTGGGCCTGTTACAACGGTGAATAAACGCACTTGCCAATCACAGATTGATACACCCTACCTGTTTAAAGACCTGTTCGCACCAAGACTGATGAAAATAATGCAGGGTTCCCACTGTCATTGAAATATCAGGGATTTTAAAGGGGTGGTTCAGTGGTTGTTTTCTAGGCTTGATTGTGTTTATGGGGTGCAGTCTAACATGTGTTAATGCTTCGTTTTTAAAAAAATGCATTATTTTTCACATAATTTACCTTTATTCCACACCGCTCTGTCCCTTCTCTGAGAAACGTGCTGATCAATTTCCTTCATTTATGAAGCCCCTCCCTCAGAAATAGGTGATGGGCGCTGATTGGTTAGCTCGCCCAGTGTGTTGTGATTGGCTAAACTGTCTCTAGTGTGCTTCTTAACGTCCCGCCCCTCTCCTCAGCGGCATGTGCTCTGGTTGTATTGTAAACAAAGGCGTCGTTAATATCGCTTATCAGTTTGAGCTCGATTGAGAAGCAGAGGATATTATTGAAGAGGATCGTGCAGAACATGTGCAAGCATGATTTTAATGGTAGGCCTATGTTTTTTGTTTGTTGTTGTCTCATACTTTTAGATATGCTGTTATTTTTAAATGCTACTGCTTATGTTAGCTTTTAATATACAGTTTTATCCTGATTAAAGCTTTAATACAGTACGGCAACTGCACGCGGGTCCATGTTTAACGCTTCTCATAGCTATGTGAAAATAAGTGTATAATTGTAACAGTTCATTGCTGGAGCTGAGCTCAATGAGAGAGAGAGAGAGATGCAGAGTGTGTGCAGAGCTGGGCGACGCGAGGAACAGTATTAAGAACCGCTGCTTTAGAACATTGATTTTGAATCTTGTGAATCCATTAGAATCGTTAGAAGACAGAATCGCGATTCATATATGAATAGATTTTTATGTGCAGCTCTAGTTTTCTCTTCCTCTAAAGCAGCGCAGCATGGCCTCGCCCCCTTTGTTGCCTTTTCCCGAGGGCAGGGTTTATCTGGGTTTGTGATGTCACGAACCCGGGAAGTAACTCGTTGCAGTCCCTACCAGACGTTTTTGTAGGCATTAAACTGTCAGAATTTTAAATGACTCCGTTTGCATTGAACTTTCAGCTTCGTAACTTAGCAGATATCGTTTATGCTCAAACAGCAACATTACACACTAACTAACATTAAAAAAGTGAAATCGCAATGAACCACCCTTTTAAAACTGGTTTCCAGACATGGAAAAGTCATGGAAATCTCTATAGTAATTCAATATAATGTAAAGCAAATTTACTGTTTTCAGTTTCTGGTTATGATCTGCTTGAAGGCTCAGGAAGGCGAAACCTCTTGAGATATGTTCAGATTTAAGGTTTTCTGCCTTTTTAGGGACTTTCATTCACTGATAAGCATAATAACTATAATCTTATTTTAAGCAATAGTAACTGGCATACAAACAGAATCTCTTCTCTTTCATTCGACTGGACAAGTCATGGAAAATCATTGGTCAGAAAGGGTGGGAACCCTGTATATGGCACTTTGGTGTCAATTTGTTTGTCATTCTATGCAAAATGTTAAAACCGAAATGAAAGCATGTTGTTCTGAAAACATACAGATGTCACTTGCATTAATCCGAGAGACAACTCGTATATAATTATTTCTTTTAAATATGGGAAAAAAAAGTCCAGAATTGTTGGGAAAGGAATGCAGTTTCATTTTAAAATCTCTGTTGAAATCTCAAAGGTCTGATTTGTTGTGATTAGACCCCACAAGGTGAAATTCCAACCAGAACAATCACAAAACATTATCGCCATGTTTGACTTTTTTTTTTCTTTTTTCTTTTTTTTTTTTTCTTTGAGCAGGACTCATCTGCTCTTAAATAAACTGGTGTTGCACCAAATTCTCTCTCTGCAGGTCATGACACATGTGTTGAAGTGTTGCTGGAGCAGGAGTTATTTCATAAGACTGAAGGGAACACCTTTAGCCCCCTTCACTGTGCTGTGTAAGTGGATTTGGTTTGGGTTGTTATGTGTTTGTGTGTTTAAAAGGGTAAAATATTGAAGTTGTTTTGTTTTTATGACCTTCAGTATAAATGACAATGAAGGAGCAGCTGAGATGTTGATAGACACACTTAGTCCTGCCATCGTCAATTCAACTGATTCCAAAAACAGGTACTGGTCTTACTCAGTTTATTCATTCTTTCGTCAGTTTAGATTGATGTGTTTTGTGGTCCCATTTGTAACTTTTTCTCTCTGTAATAGGACTCCTCTTCATGCTGCAGCATTCACAGATCATGTGGAGTGTCTGCAGCTCTTGCTGAGTCATAACGCACAGGTGAACTGTGTGGATGCTGGAGGCAAAACCCCACTCATGATGGCTGCTGAGAATGGCCAGACTAATGCAGTCGGTAGGACTTTGATGCTCAAACCACTTATGTGTTTCATGTTTATAGTTAACTGAGTTTGTGTTTGTTTTTTGATGTGTCATGATGTCTGTCTGTGGTTGGCAGAGGTGTTGGTGAGCAGTGCAAAAGCAGATCTCACGCTACAGGATGCCAACAAAAACACTGCTCTCCATCTGGCTTGCAGTAAGGTAAGAAACACTGTTCTCTCATGTCTTAATTCCTCATAATATGTAAGGATGTAGTATAGATTGTGTGATGTTCTAATATCTATTACTGTCACTGTATTGATTTTCATTTGATCTCTATAGGGTCATGAAACCAGTGCCTTGTTGATCTTGGAGAAGATCACTGACAGAAACCTTATCAACTCCACCAATGCAGCTTTACAAACGTATGGTCTCAAATAATGCACTTACACTGATGTACACAAATATATTAAAGTATAAGCCTAATATTAAGTTGTCATGTTCCAGGCCCCTGCATATTGCAGCCAGGAATGGCTTGACTGTGGTTGTCCAAGAACTACTAGCTAAGGGTGCCAGTGTGCTAGCCGTGGATGAAAATGGTAAATGCTGATGACTTATGACCTTAAAATAGGTTTAGAGATGCACAAATGTATGTGTATGTGAGTGTGTGTGTGTATATATATATATCAGTATCTCACAGAAGTGAGTACACCCCTCACATTTTTGTAAATATTTTATATATTTTCATGTGACAACACTGAAGAAATGACACTTTGCTACAATGTAAAGTAGTGAGTGTACAGCTTGTATAACAGTGTAAATTTGCTGTCCCCTCAAAATAACTCAACACACAGCCATTAATGTCTAAACCGCTGGCCACAAAAGTGAGTACACCCCTAAGTGAAAATGTCCAAATTGGGCCCATTTAGCCATTTTCTCTCCCCGATGTCATGTGACTCATTAGTGTTACAAGGTCTCAGGTGTGAATGGGGAGCAGGTGTGTTAAATTTGGTGTTATCGCTCTCACTCTCTCATACTGGTCACTGGAAGTTCGACATGGCACCTCATGGCAAATAACTCGTGTTGAGTTATTTTGAGGGGACAGCAAATTTACACTGTTATACAAGCTGTACACTCACTACTTTACATTGTAGCAAATTGCAGTCATTTCTTCAGTGTTGTCACATGATATATATATATATATATATATATATACATACACACATACTGTTTTTCAAATGTTTGTGGTCAGTAAAATTTTTTTTTTGTATGAAATGTTTTTTATTCAGCAAGGATACAATAAATTGATCAGAAGTGACAATAATGACAATGCTATAAATGCTATTTTTTTCCTATTCTTAAAATCCTGAAAAATGTGTCAGTTTCCACAAAAATCTTACGCAGCACAACTATTTAGTTGTTTCGTGAGCATCGGATCAGTATATCAGAATGATCATGGGACACGGAAGACCGGAATAATGGCTGCTAAAAATTCAGCTTTGTCATTACAGAAATTATTTTATATATTAAAATAGGAAACATTCATTTTAAATTTTAATAATATTTATTGTATTTTTGATCAAAGAAATGAAGCATTGGTAAGAATAAGACAACTTTCAAAAAATCTTACCTCAAACTTTAGAATGGTACTGTTTGTGCAATTTAAATTTTTTTTTTTGTGAATTTTATAAACGTTCTTTTTATTTACCGGTAATAAACAAACAAATGGAATTTAGGAAATCTTGGAAATTTTTAAACTATGAAATCGTGATATTTTGGTAGCAAGGTTTACGAATAAGTAAAACAAAACATTGATCTCCCAATTTGTAATATCTTTATGTAATTTTTATTATGGTTTTTATTACTTTTGTTGTCTTCCGTTTAGGTTGTCTTTGAAAATAATTATCAGTATCAGTTTTTCTATTACGGCAACATGCTTATATTATATTGTCCCCCATTGTAAAACCGGCCTGACGGGTCTTCTCTCATTTATTTGAAAAAGGCTACACTCCGGCACTTGCTTGTGCTCCTAACAAAGATGTGGCAGATTGCCTGGCGCTAATCCTGGCCACCATGATGCCAGTGTCTCCCGGCGGAGGTGCGGTGCCTAGCCTCACGTTCAGTGCCATCAATCACTACACCAGCCCCACGAAAAGCGTCACGTTCGACAGTCTGCCCATGCTCCGCTCCGAACACAGCTCCTATTGCAGTTTCAACAGCATCGGTCGCCACGACGGCTTCTACAAGGATGACGAGCTAAACGACTCTGACTCAGAGACTTACTGAGGAGGAGGAAAGGAGAGGTGCACATCTTGTCTTAATTACCCAGCGGCCGACCACTCCGCAGAGCCTTAACAGTCTCTACACACAATTCACACAAACAAACACACCTGTATGAGGCGCAGCAGGCTGGCCCTCCCAGCCCCCTTATTCATCAGCTCAACCTCTGCCAGCACATCTTGCCCTACCCAAATGTAACGGATAAGTGGGCGGACCTCCTGACATGGCAATAAAAGACAAGAATCAGCGGCCTGGGACCAACTTTTGCACAAGCAGTTTGACACTGTCGTAGTGCACCTGGGATTCGAGATTCAGCTCTCTTCAGATTGCGAGGGAGGATTTGAATCAGTCCCTCGTGAAAGACTGGGATATTTGTGATGCTTTCAACAGTTTCAAGTCAGTGTGCACTTCTGAATCAATCATTTACAACTTGGGGAAAGAAATTATTTATTTTTAAAATACGATTTTAATATCTGTCAAGTTCTCTGTCCCTCTGAGGGGGATAAAAAAAAAAAATCAGAGTTTCAGTAGATTCAAAACCCAAGGGCAAAATTGAGGACATGAACATCAGCATTGTAATGCTTTTGGCCACAAGCATGAGTGAAGTTAAAAAGCTAACTGTCTCCATCTTCAGTTTTAGGATAAATTATTCTTTTTATCTATGGTATTTATTTTTACTTTCCATATTTCATCATCATTTTGTGCCTTCATAAATTACTGCATGGAGGGAAGGGGCAGCTCGAAAGAACAAATCAATGATGCACAAGAAGTTCAACACTACGTCTGTGAAAAGCACTGAAAATGAAGAGGCAAACGGCTCCCAGCATGCTTTGCTCCAGAATGAGGAACACTGTGTAAACCAATGGTAGAACAGCATTTGATCTCTTTGTATGTTGATATATGAATATAAATATATATTATATTTTTTCTGGCTCTTATTAACATGACTTTTTTTGGGCAGGTATGCTCACTTTGATTTAGCAAATGAAACCACTTGATCCTTCTGTGATGGCTTGTCAGAAACTTGTGTTTGTCTCTTTTCGAGCTTTGATTTTGGAATGATTGAAACTGGAAATCTGTTCAATACAGCTTCTCGTCTGAGGGGGTCAGCAGGTGTCTGTTTCCTTTCCTGGGGGAAAGGAGAGTGATTGGTGCAGTCGAATGCCACTGCTGCCCCCTACTCGCAACCAGAGATTCCTGTATATTTTATGGTTGATTAAATAAATAAATGAGTTCAGTACTTTGAATCGTATTTTTCTTATTATCAAATGTTTAAGTAAACCTGGAATATTATGGAATTGCCACTTCCAGACCTATCTTAAATACATTTCAATAGTGGAATAAATGTGTGTGTGTGTGTGTGTGTGTGTGTGTGTGTATGTGTGTTTGATACTTCAAATGTCCAGCAGGAAGTCTCCTACATTCCTGCATTCCCCGTTTCCTGTTTTTCACCCTTTGTTTGCTTTTACAGGAGCTGGACTACGAAGAGCTGAAGGAAATCAAGCTGCAGGTGTCTGTTGCTAACAAGGAA